AAGAATGAAACTAGATCATTTTCTCACACCATGCACAAAAATCAACTCAAAATGGATAAAGGACCTGAACGTGAGACAGGAAACTATCAACACCCTAGAGGAGAAAGCAGGAAACAACCTCCTTGACCTCCACCGCAGCAACTTCTTACTTGACACATCCCCAAAAGCAAGGGAATCAAGAGCAAAAATAAACTGTTGGGACCTCATCAAGATTAAAAGCTTCTGCACAGCCAAGGAAACAACCCAGAAAATTAATAGGCAACCAACGGAATGGGAAAAGATAGTTGCAAATGACATATCAGATAAAGGGTTAATATCCAGAATCTATAAGGAACTCACCAAACTACACGCCCGAAAAACAAACAACCCAGTGAAGAAATGGGCAGAAGACATGAACAGACACTTCTCCAAAGAGGACATCCAGATGGCCAACAGACACATGAAACGATGCTCAGCATCCCTCCTCATCAGGGAAATACAAATCAAAACCACACTGAGATACCACCTCACGCCAGTCAGAGTGGCTAAAATGAGCAAATCAGAGAACTCTAGATGCTGGCGAGGATGTGGAGAAACGGGCACCCTCCTACACTGTTGGTGGGAATGTAAACTGGTACAGCCCCTCTGGAAAACAGTGTGGAGGTTCCTCAGGAAACTAACAATAGAACTCCCTTATGACCCAGCAATAGCACTGCTAGGAATTTACCCAAGGGATACAGAAATGCTGAGGCATAGGAGCACATGGACCCCAATGTTCATAGCAGCACTCTCCACAATAGCTAAAACATGGAAAGAGCCTAAGTGTCCATCAACAGACGAATGGATCAAGAAGATGTGGTTTATCTATACGTTGGAATACTACATGGCAATGAGAAACAATGAAATCTGGCCATGTGTAGCAACATGGATGGACCTTGAGGGTGTTATGCTGAGCGAAATAAGTCAGGCAGAGAAGGACAAATACCATATGTTTGCATGTATAGGAGGATTAGGAGGAACATGATGGAGGAACAAGGGGGAGAAGAAGGGCGGAAATAGGTGGGGAAAGGGAGAGAGGCAAACCATGAGAGACTCTTGAATGCTGACAAAAACTGAGGACTGATGGGTGTGGGGGGGAGGGGGGATGGGCATGGAGGAGGACACTTGTGGGGATGAGCACTGGTTGTTATGTGGAAACTAATTTGACAATAAACTATTTGTAAAAAAAAAAAAAAAAAGAAAAAAGAAAAGCACTAAATTTTTGCTCCCCTCCGCACATTTTATGTATATAATGTCATAGTTTACATTCTTTATTTTGTGCATCCCTTGACTGATTTTTGAATTTATAATTTATTTTATTACTTTTGTGCTTTAAACACCATCCTGATTTTATAATGGTTGGTCTTCTACCTTTTTATATGTTTGCATTACCTTTTAAAAGTTTTCCTTTTATAATCTCTTTCTCCTGATTATGGTCTTTTCTTTGCACTCGAATAATCCCCTATAATATTTTTTAAAAATTTTAACATTTATTTATTATTGAGAAACAGAGAGAAACAGAGCATGAGCATGGGGGTGAGGGGCAGAAAGAAGGGGAGACACAGAATTCAAAGCAGGCTCCAGGCTCTGAGCTGTCAGCACGGAGCCTGACCCAGGGCTGGAACTCACAGACTGTGAGATCATGACCTGAGCCAAAGTTGGACGCTTATCTGACGGAGCCACCCAGGTGCCCTCCTCCCCCATAATATTTTTTGTAAGGCTGATTTAATGGTAATAAACTCCTTTAACTTTTGTTTATCTGGGAAACTTTATATCCCCTTCTATTCTGAATAATAACTTTGCTGGAGTTTCTTAGATTCAGGATGGTTGTTGTTGCTGCTGTTGCTGTTGCTGTTTTAATCCTTTGACAGCTTTGAATATAACATGTGTCCTTCTTTTAGCATGTAAAGTTTTTGTAAAAAGATCAGTTGATATGGGTCACCTGGTGGCTCAGTTGGTTAGGTGTCCAAGTCTTGGTTTTGGCTCAGGTCATGATCTCATGGTTTGTGAGGTCAAGCCCCCACTGTGCTGACATATGGAACATGTTTGTCACCCTCTCTCTGCCCCTCCCTCCCTTACTTTCTGTCTCTCCCTGAATAAATAAATAAGCTAATTTTTTTTCTTTTAAATATTTTATCTATTTCTAGGAGAGAGAGAGAGAGAGAGAGAGAGAGACAGCATGAGCAGGGGAGGGTCAGAGACAAAGGGAGTCACAGACTCTGAAACAGGCTCCAGGCTCTGAGCTGGCAGTCAGCACAGAGCCCGACGCGGGGCTCGAACCCACGAACCACGAGATCATGACCTAAGCGAAAGTCGGACGATTAACCGACTAAGCCACCCAGGCGCCCCAGTAAGCTAAAACTTTTTAAAGATCAGCTGACAGATTTATGCCATTTCCCTTGTATGTAACTTTTTTTTTATTGCTTTTAAGTTCTTTTATCACTACTTTCTACCATTTTATTTGTTATGTGTCTTGGTGTAGATCTCCTTGTGTTGATTTTGTTGGGGGTTCTCAGTGCCTCCGAGATGTGGATATCTGTTTCCTTCCACAGATTAAGGAAATTTTCAGCTATTATTTCTTTAAACAAATGCTTTGCCCCCGTCTCTCTGTCTTCTCTTTCTGGGATCTTTATAATGCAAATGGGATTAGTTTTAATGATGTCACCTAGTTCCCTTAACCTATTCTTACATCTTTTAAATTATTTTTTTCTCTTTGCTGTTCAGCTTCACTATTTTCCATTACCCTGTCTTCCAGATCACTGATCTGCTCTCTTCTGCTCCCTCTGATATGCTAATGATTCCCTTTACTGTATGCCTTATTACAGTTATTGAACTCTTCATCTCTGGTTCTTTTTATATTTTCTCTCCTTTTGGTTGAAGGTCTCACTGAGATTATCCCCTTTCCCCTTTCCTCAAGTCCGGTGAGCATTTTTATGATCATTACTTTGAATTCTCTATCAGACATATTGCCTCTTTGTTTCATTTGGTTCTTTTGCTGTGGCTTTGTACTGGTCTTTTATTTGAGACATATTCCTCTGTCCTCTCATTGTGTCTAATTTTCTGTGTTTGTTTCTATGTATTAGGAAAGTCATCTATGTTCCTGATCTTGAAAGTAGTGCTTTATGAAGAGGAGGTCCTATGGTGCCCTATAGCACAATATCCCCTATTCACAAGAAGCAAGCACTTTAGGTGCATTTCCAATGTAAGTTGTATGATCCCAACTCTTGTGGCTGAGCCATGTTTGTTTTCAGTCCAGTTGTCTGCAAAGGCCAGTTTTGCCTGTTGTAGGCACAATAAGTTAGGTTTGATTCTAGTGCTGTTAGTAGGCCTGTCTGGATCTGCCATAGGCTTGTAGTTGGCAGTGTCAGCAGTCAGAGCTGATGCCTCACTCAGCCTATTTGCTGGGACTGCTCTCACAATGAACTGCAGGGAAGTTTCACTAGACTTTTGTTGTTGGGTTGATTTGGCCATCAGACCAGATGCCTACTCTGAATCCACCTATTGAGACTTCTGAATCCACCAACTTGCAGGATGGTCTCCCTATATTGTCCCCTGAAAGACTTTCATTGGTTGGTGGGACTAGTTAGACTAGATACCTGCCCCCAGTTCACTCACCTGGGTTGAAATTGTACTGATCAGCACAGCACTCTCTCTGTGCTGCCAGCTATAAGAATCAGTTGCTGGGACGGCTGGTGCAATAGTCTGATTATCTTCTCTTCTCCCCAGGGCAGAAATCACTTCCAAGTGGTGCTGGTCCTTGTTGGGGTTACTTCCAGGGTGTGTTGGAGCTGGAGCCACTTTGGATGGAAGCCTACAGAGTGGAGTGGGTTATATGGTATAGATCTGCAGGGGAATGTGTGGGTGAAGTGCATGGTATTAGCAAGGTGGAGGGTAAGCCTGCAAATATTGTCTGGCTATTTAGAAAATGGTGACCACCAATATTTTTATTCTTAGTGAAGTCTCTTAATCATCCCTGTTCCTCCAGTGCATATTCTGAGATTAGTAAATAAATCTTTCATATTCTCTAGGCACTTTTCAAACTTCTGCTTCTATGCTGCATCTCAGCAAGGTTATTTCTTATGTTGTCTCCTTAACGGTGGGCATTCAGTTTCCTATTGCCCTCCAGCTGTCCTGGAGCTAAACCCATTGATTTTTAAAGTGTCTGGAGTTAAGGCCCACTGACTATAGAAACTCAAAAATTTAAGCTTCACTAGTTTCCAAAGCCAAATATTGTGGGCACTTTTCTTAGTGCTGGTCTCCCATGCCTGGGGTCCCTAGTGTAGATGTCTTAGCCTCTTGTTTTACTATGCTTATTATGGCCTTCTCATTTGTGGATAGTCTTGCCAGCTATTCGTTTCCCAGCTATATATCTATTTTTCCTACCTTTTACAATATGGCCTCCTCTCTATGATTACCTATGAAAATCTGTGTTCCCAGTCTTCAGGTCCTTTTCAGAGTTAGTTGCATTAATGTATCTGTTATCTCAATGTCTCTGTGGGGCGATGTGATCTCAGGATCTTCCTATGCTTGTTGTCATCTTCCCAGAAATCCCAATATACTGAATTTTAACACTAAACACTCTTCACCTTCCTTCAGCAGAACTAGTCATAGATAAAATTAATTAGTATGTTGTGAACAAAGCTATATGCACAAAGTTTACATTTTTTACTAATAGTTGAATTTTGATTTATCACAGGAAGAAAAGACAATAAATAATTAAATTTGATACATTTACATTTCTTCTTTCTAATGACTCTCAGATTCTCCTCTCAGAAAGGTCAGTATCAAAACCTATGGATTTTGAACTGTGACCACAAGTTTACCAGCAAGAATTTCTAGTACATGAAAAAAGTAAAAATTTAAGTAGAAATCAGATTAACAAAGGATCTTGTCACTGATCTTACATTTTAAAAGTTTATTAAGTAGATTATACCTCAAAAATGAAATACATAATTATGAGTAGAAATTTTGACATTTGAAACTTGGAGAGCAGTGTTGGAATTGGATGTTAGGTCATATATCTATGGGTATTCATTGCCCTAGGAAGGTTCCACCATCTCCATGCCCTCAAACCTTACAAAGAAATGTGAAATACTCTATACCTTTATGTCACTTCGTATGGCTTAACTCAAATCACAGAGATGTCATGTTTCAGAGATGGAGAAACACTCCCTTGGAGGCCACTAGGCTATACAGACTTTGTTAGTGGAAGCATGAGATTTCTAGTGGGGAAGCACAAGTTCATAATCATGGTCAGCGGTACTGGAAGAAGGCCTAGTAACACAAGTCCTCTTGAGAAGGGCATATTCTGTTTCTGGCCCATTTCTAAATGGCTTCACTGTCTTTGTGGTGGAGTCGATATTCTCATAACCATCATCGTTGGAGCTCAGGGAGGGCCTCCGATAGGAACTGTGACTAATGACAGTGTAGCACACTTCCTCAGAACCACTGCCATTCTCATGTTCCTGCCAAGCACAAAAAAATAAAATAATAATAATAATAAAGGATCCAGGATCATCTATCAAATTTGAGCTCAGCATCTGCCCCTCCTTTCTTCTTGTCTGATTGTGATCTTGTGCATCAGGTATCCAAACTACTACTCATGCTTTCATTTCACTTCAAATATTAAAAGAGAAAAGAAAGATACTATTATTCTTCTCAATATTTTTTAAAAGTAATGATATATATTAAGTCACAGATATTCAGATGTAATATATGCAATAAAGTTAATCAAACTACATAACAAAGTTTCATGAGATAAAATATAATTAAAATTTTGAGTTTAAACACATTTTCAGTTGTATAGACAATGAAAGAAAGATGAAAACATTAAGATACTGCATCTTTATGTGTCTATTGACTTCCACCATGTTTGTAAATATAAAGACTAATTCCTGGGTTTAAATACTAGAAGGCAATATGGAAAGCTGAAAAGAATTAATGTTTTATTGTGGTCAAATTCTAAGCATAAATTTACTTTATTTTATTTTTGTTATAGTAGTTCTGAAAATTAAAATTATAAGCTTCAGTAGAATTAGGACAACAATAAGGACAGCAATGAATTTGTCAATCATGTAAATCAGTTAAAATATTGTTTTTTTAAATTATTCCCATTTTTGCATTAAAACTATAAGGAAATTTATTTAAAACATAAAGTACTTTATAAGCTCATTCAAAAAATTGTAAGAAAGACCTATAGCTACCCTTAAATAAATTCATCTGTATTTTGACATTCATCACACAAATTAATATTTTAATTACCTGATTAGAAGCAGATAAAACTTCTTTGCCTAAAGGATAAAAAAAAATATACGATTTTTGGAATATCACAAGTTGGGCGAAAAAGGTTCTCAATACAATGATCAAACTGCAAAGAACCCCATGATCTAAGCATGTGACATTATCTCATGTTGTTATTGAGGTTCTCAGGCCTGAATGTCAAGATCAAGAAAGAATATATGTTCAGGAAGCATTAATACTATGTTTCTGTGTAAGTGGCATGCACCATATTTGCTGGATAAAGGTGGGTTTTGAAATTGGGTAAAAAAATTTCTTCACAAACATGCCATTAAAATAAAGTATGGAAAGTTCAAAGAAAAAACAATTATATATGAAATTTTATATATAAGTTTGATAAAACTATCATAGGGAAATCATATATTTTTTAAATTTTTAATGTTTATTTACTTTTGAGAGAGAGAGACAGAGTGCAAGTGGGGGAGGAACAGAGAGAAAGAAAGAGAGAGAGAGAGAATCTGAAGTAGATTTCAGGCTCTGAGCTGTCAGCACAGAGCTTGATGCAGGGCTTGAACTTGCCAACCATGAGATCATTACCTGAGTCGAAGTTGGATGTTTAACTGACTGAGACACCCAGGTGCCCCATATAATTTTTAAAGATAAATAATCATTATAGAGATAAATACTGAAATAACAAGATCAACTATTTCAAATAAATACAAATATATTCAGGTTAATTACATCTGTAAATGATGAAGTAATTTATGTTTTTGTTGTTAATCTTAGATTCACAAGTACTATTTTTCAAATATTTATTCATTTGTTCATGTCAATTTTTAAAAGTTTATTTTTATTTTTCTTTTCCTTGCCTCAGGAGACATATCTAGAAAGAACTTGTTATGGATGATCCCAGAGAGGCTACAAAACTGAAAAGGTAACCTATGGAATGGTAGAAGATATTTACAAATGACATGTTTGATAAAGGGTAAGTATCTAAAATATATTAAGAACCTATAAAATTCAACATACAAAAAACATAATCCAATTACAAATGGGCAGAAGACATGAATAGACATTTTTCCACAGAAGACATCTAGATGACTAACAGACACATGGAAAGATGCTCAACATCACTCATTATCAGGTCTATACAAATTAAAACCACAATGACATACCACCTCACATCTATCAGAATGTCTAAAATTAGCACCACACAAAACAACGGTGTTGGTGAGGAAGTGGAAAAAAGGAAACCTTCTTGCACTGTTATTGGGAATACAAACTGGTGCAGCAACTGTAGAAAACAGTATGGAGGTTCTTCAAAAAGTTATAGTTTTTCTTTTAAAGTATAAATTGTCCCATATAAGTATTGCTACTCTGACTTTCTTTTGACATACATTTGCACGATAAGTATTTCTCCACCCCCTCACTTTAAATCTTTTGGAAGAGCAGCTTAAGACCACTCAGTGGCTGTTCCCTCCCATTCAGTGGCCTGAATAGTGAGAGCTGCAGACCAGTCTTCAGTGACAAACTAAGGACTCCAATCTGCAGTAGGGAACTGCTGAATAGGCACAGAGGGTCTGCTTTCAGGCCAGCCTGCAACTTCCAGGATGAATAGCAGTGAACTCAGGAGATGAAACAGTACCTGGAAATTCCTCCTTGCTCACAGCCTTTTCAACAGAGGCCTGCTCTTTCTTTTCAATCTCTTCAGGATCTCTGTAGAAGTAGAGATCAGCTGGATATCATGCCTGACCATCAGTGTTCAGAGGATATGATATCAATCATTCAGAGAACTTCCTGGGCCAGCATCCACCAGATCAGACCCATTTAGTGAGCTCCCTATAGTTGCAAGAGATGGCAATGCCCACATAGTGCAGAAGAGAGTCTATGTTACACAGAGCTATGGTAGGCAGGTTAACATTAGTTGCCTCTGTGAGAGGGTGGTGGTCAGCCCTGGGATAGATAACCATCAGAAGTCTTGGCTCCCATAAGACCTTCTGGATCTGGTTAGTGAAGTTTCCAGGAATGAAGCGGCTCCAGTAGCAGCAGCTCACAGTAGCCCAGCTTGCTGGCCAGTACTCCTGGATAGTATGACACTGACATCAGCCGGGTTTTCAATGGCAACACAGGTACAAGCTGCCAGCAGAAGCTTCTTTCAAAATCTATTCAAATCTATGATGTAGACGCCATTACTTTTCCTTTTTTAGATGTACTGTTCCATTTGGAAGTCAAAGTTTGTGCCACCTAGATGGGTTCCTACCACAAGGAATTTGAGGACATCTTCCTCATTTATTTTCAGGACATCAAGGCTCTGGATTTTCCCCTCTAAGTTACAACTGGAGGGAACCCTTCTAGGGAAGTTGTATGGACCCTTCCCTGGATAGCATGGAAAGGGATGGGTCTTGTAGGGTTTTTTTCTAATCCATTCTGACACTTTATGTCTTTCGAATGAAGTATTTACTCCATTTACATTCAAAGTAATTATTGGTAGAGATGTATTTATTGCCATTTTATTACTTGTTTTGTGCTTGTTTTTGGAGATTTTCTCTGATCCTTGCTTGTCGTTCTATCTTTCATGCTTTGCTGAGTTTCTTTAATGATATATTTGGATTCTTTCTCTTTATTGTTTGCGTGCTTATTACTGGTTCTTGATATATGGTTACTATTACATTTGTGTACAATTTCTTCTGCAAATTGAAATCTATATTAAGTTGATGGTCATTTAAGTTTGAATCCATTCCTTTCCCCTTCCCTCCCCTGTTTTGGGTATATGTTATCATTGTTTATATACTTTTCTTAATAGGTGTGAGTCCCTTGCCTGATTTTACAGAAATATTCATTTTTACTCCTTTGATGTTTCCTGTGTTTACATTGTCACTTCTGATCTCTCCTTTCCACTTAAAGAGTCCTCTTTATTTAAAAAAAATTTAATGTTTTTTAAAATTTATTTCTGAGAGAAAGAGAGAGAGAGAGGAGAGAGAGCAGAGAGGGTCAGAGAGAGGGAGACAAAGAATCTGAAGCAGGCTCCAGGCTCTGAGCTAGCTGTCAGCACAGAGCCCGATGCAGGGCTCAAACCCACGAACTGTGAGGTCATGACCTGAGCTAAAGTCAGACCCTTAACCGACTGAGCCACCCAGGCACCCCGAAGAGTCCTCTTTAATATTTCTTGCAAGGCTGGCTCAGTGTCACAAACTTCTCTCATGTTTGTCTGGGAAACTCATTATCTTTCCTATCCTGAAAAACAGCTATGGTGGACAGAGTATTCTTGGCTGCAGATTTTTCCCATTTATCACGCCACTCTCTTTGGCCTGCCAATTTTCTGTTGAGAAATCTCCATTTTGGTCCTCCCTGTAAGTTAAGAACTTCTTTTGCCTTGCTGCTTTTAAGATTTTCTTTTTATTGCTCTTTTTTTGAAAATTTAATTACAATATCTTGGTGTTGGTCTTCATTTGTTGATTTTGAAGGAAATTCTCCTGGCTCTGATGTCTGTTTCCTTCCCCAGATGAGGGAAGTTTCTGGCGATTATTTCTTCAAATAAATTTTCTGACCCCTTTTTTCTTTTTCTAGAACTACTATGATATGAATGTTATGTTTGGTGGAGTCAGTGGGTTCCCTAAATCTATTTTCCTTTTGCATAATTCTTCTTTCTGTCTTTGTTCGGCTTCATTACTCTCCATTACTTTATCTTATAGACCATTAATTCATTCCTCTGCTTCTTCTAGCCTGCTGTTCCTCACATCAAATATGTTCTTAATCTCATTTATTGCATTCTTCATCTCTGATTGATTTCTTTTCATATCTTTTGTCTCTGTGGTAAGGGTCTCACTGTTGTCTTCTATTCTTTTCACAAGCCCAGTGAGTATCCATATGATCATTGCCTTGAATTCTATATCAGGCAAGTTACTTATATATGTTTCACTTGTATCTCTGACCAACACCTTATGTTGTTCTTTCATTTGGAATAAATTCCTCTGTCTTCACATCTTGTCTAAGTCTCTGCTTTCTTTTGTGTGTTAGAAAAGCCAGGTATGTCTCCTACTCTTGAAAGTAATGGCCTTGTGAAAAAGAAGTTAGGTAGTGCCTGGCGCTTCAGGGAGTGTGTTGTGTGTGCTGTGTGTGCTCTGCTGTTGTGTTGTGGCTGCTCCCTCCTTCAGGCCAGTCATCTGCAGAGGCTCTCCTTGCCTGCAATGGTCAGTGTTTTGACCCTCCTCTGAATATGGTGAGTTTTAACTAGGTGTACTTTGATCTGCTTGTGTAATGAAACTTCACACCACTACCACTGGAAGTGGGGCCCTGCAGAACTCTCATGTTTTCTTCAGAAACATGGTGTGGGGAGGGATTTCAGCTGGTCTTCTGGGGAGGTCCCATGCTGGGAGTGAGGCAAGTGTGACTGAAAAGTGCAGTTCACCAGATCACACATGGGTGGGTCTTGGTGTAAGCAAATTTTCCAGTGCCTGCACTATGCTGTTTCTTGCAGGTGGATCTATGTGTATGCTGAGGTGCAGGTGATGGAGTGGCACTGGCCAGATCTTTCATTCCCAGAGAAGTGTCTCCATGAAAGCTCTCTCTCAGCTCTCAGGGATACATTCTGAGAAGAGCAAATGATGTCCCACCTGTGTGTCTAAACTGTTCTTCAGATCACTGTTTCCATGCTCTCTGCTCCCAGGTTGTCAGCCAAGCCTACTGACATTTACAATTCCAAGTTTTAAGCCTTACTTGTTGCAAGAACTCACAGAATTCAAGTCCTCTCATTTTCTAAGCCAATGGCTTTGTGGAAATGTTCTCCTTGTATGTTCCCACTCACTCCTCTTTCTCTCTCATCCTTCTCTGCGACCATAGCTGTCTCCCTTCCTCAGCACCCATGATCTTTTTCTCCCCTAAACTACATTTCTGTGCTTCCTACCTTCTTCAGTGAGTCTTCTTCTCTCCCTTTCATTGTTGAATTTATTCTGTCACTCTTGGGCTCTATTTGTGGAGTATTTAGGATGATTTGCTTATCTAGTCATGTTCGGAATGAGGGAAGACTAGACTCCTCCTACTCCACTGCCATTTT